TGCTACAACATGCTGGAAGAAATAAGACTGAAGACCAGAAGAGTTCAAAGGGTGTTACAGTAACTTAGACAGGATGTGATGAAGACATAGGCTAAGGGTAGAAGAGGTGGAAGAAAGTGGAGACTTGAGTCCTTTTTAAGAGGCAGAATCAACAGGCGCAGGTAACTGGTTAGAAAACAGGATTGAAGGAGAGAGAGTTGAGGGTGGGGACTGGCCCCCCTTGGGTGAATGGGCAGATGGTGGAGCATCGCTGGAGGAGATCCGGGTGGAAGATGGTGGGTTTAGGGCAAAGGGGGGTGGTGTGCTCTTCAGAGGTAGGCGTCCAGCTGGAGTTGAATATGTAGGTCTGGATGGAGCTCAGGGCAGTTCTCTGGACTGGATGAGGAGCTGGGCATCCCTAACTATAGAAGAGCTGACCCCAGGGAGAGGGTGAGATCACTCCCAGCCAGGCTGAGCTTCCTCTTTCCAGACCATGTGCCGCACCTATTGCCAGCACCAAACATCTTAGCACCTGTTACATTCAGACTCACCTTTCTTTTTGCCTCCTCATTTGTTGCTCACTTTCATTCTGAATGCATTTTCTCTCCAATGACACCGTAAGCAGAGACTGCCCTATATTTCGTTTTTTTCTTTGCTCTTCATTCACTAGCACCCGGTCTGTCAACTAGTAAGCTTGATGATGATGATAAATAACTACTAGTAAGAGTGTCTGCGATGTACAAGGTGTAATGTTAAGATCTTAAGTCTGCTATTTTGTTCCATTCTCTCGAGGACTCAATGAGGTAGGTATTAGGAACTTCATTTTACAGATGAAGAAATGGAGGAAGTAAGAGTGCATGCAGAAAGCTCCCCAGCTGCCAAATGGAGAAACATGGCTCTGAACTTGGCTGAGACTGTCCCTCAAAGCCCTTGTGCCTCCAGCTGAGCAGGACAGGGACCCCTCTGATCTGGCTGGGAGGCCACAAGGAAAGTAGGGTGCAGATTTACCATGTGGCTGCCAGGATAGAAACCAGGACTCTCAGGGGAGCTTGATTCTTGGCTCAATGGCAGAAAAACTGTCAACCAGAGGTGTCCACGGGAGACCAGGCCCCTCAGGAAGTGATGAGCTGCCCATCACGTGGGGGAGACATGGTCTTTAAGGAACCTCCAAACTTGAGCCCTTCGGGATGAATCCGCTGACCTTTCAAAGGGAATGATACGCTTGGCAAAAATGCACCCCCACCACTCCTTCAAAGAAAAGGAATGAAGCTAGCCAAAGGAAAAAGATTCACTTAAGAAAGCAGATTTCAGTGGGATGAGTGCATCCGGGGATCCAAGGAAAAGGGGTGGGAGCAGTGGGAGTGATTTTCAGGCAGAGAACAATATTCAAAGTAGCAAGAACAACTATCCCAGACATGGGTTTGGGGGGAGGGTGGGGGCAAGCTGATGAGCTCTGTGGAAGATGGCATAAGGAGCTGAATCACCATCGGGCATGGACTCCTTCCTCTCCTCCCCATTAACTGAGCACCCAGCGGCAGCCTGGCACCAGACCAGCAGTGGTGAGGGGAGCACAGAACAGAGCAGGGCGAAGTAACAGTCCCTTTCCTTGGGGAACGCACAGTATAATCCTCAGAGACAAGATAAAAAGCTGAGTGGCTGCAAAGATTGAACACATGCAAGGTTATGAACTGAAAGCAAGATAAGAGCCAGAGAACCCGGCAGGGAAGCCAGCCTTCCCTCCACCCGGCACGCAGGGAGGAGCAGGGCGAGATGCCTAAAGAGAACCACAAAGAAACCACGGCAGCCTGCAGAGATCTAGCAGAAAGGCTGGAGCAAAAACCCAGCAAAAGTCACAAAGGGAGACTGAAAAATGTTCTTTCCATTTACCCAGAAAAAGGTGATAAAAGGAATGTGCTCCTTTATTAGATGGAGAAAAAGTGCAAGAGGAGAAAGACTCAGGTGTGGGTGTGTTTGCACCTGGGTAGGTGTGGTACCTGGGTACATGGGCCTGTAAACCCACACACGTGGAGGTGTGCATGTGGCACAGGCATTCAGTGCCTCTGAGGCCGTGTGTTAAGGGTGTGTGGGACTGGGCTTCCTGTGGCTGTGAACAAGCAACTTGACCTCGGTTCTTGTGACCTCTACTCTGTGTGGTCAGTTTCCCCTTCCATGCTGGGACAAAATGGCCTGGACTGTAGATTAAAGAAGGACACAGTGGTCACATCATGCAGCTGCCTCCCCTCTTTGGGCCTCACTTTCCTTACCTTGAAAACAAAGACATTTAAGCAATGGCTTTCAACCCAGGGTGCACATCACAGGCACCACGGAAGTTTTAAAATAGTAAGAGAGGCCCAAGACCCGCCCTGGCACCACTGAATTCCAATCTCTAGCAGGAGGCCTTCTAACAAAGTTCCTTCTCAAGAGCTTGATTCCGAAACCCAGATTGTTAAGAATACTGGATTTCCAGACTCCATTTCCTCCCCATGAACTTGCCAGCGAGCTGGGAGTGCAGTGATGGTCTGATGGAGTCTCTGCACAGAGGCTGGCTTATCACATTGCAGCCAGTGTGACTCTGGGAGACAGGGCTGACGTGCAGGCTAGATGACAGACCCTGAATGCAAAAGACGCTAACCTTCAGGGCCCTGGAGGAAAACTGACCCAGCGAAACTGACAAGGATAAAAACAAGCTCTGCTCTGATGCAAACAACATAATCAATGGACACAAGAAATAGGTAACAGCAAGTGCTTCCAGGAAGGGGAGCTGCACGACTGAGGACCGCGGTCAGTGAGAGAGAACCACATTTCACCGTAACTTGCATATGCCTTTTGAATTTTGCATCATATGAATGTATAAACTACCTTTAAAAATCACTGGGAAAAAAATCACTGGCAGAAGCATAGGATCAGGGAATAGAACCTGGCTGGATATAACTGGGATGCATGCAATCTAGGGTTTTAGCTGACAAGCTTACCCTGTGCAGATTCAGTGTGGTGGCTGTCAAAGTCAGCCTGACTTTCGGCTTCACGGTGGACAGGTGGTGTGCTTCTTAGGGGGGAAGACTGTCCCTCTGTGATCTGTGCCGTTCATTCCCTGCCTGAATTCCTGGGCCCTGGACTGAGCACCACATCCTGAGGCAGTGTCTGGACTGACGTGCTAAACCACACCCAGAAAAGAGGAATTGGGAGGGGGAAGGGTCAGGAAACCGCACAGGAGTGGGTGAAGGGACCAGGATTGCCAGCCCAGGTAGGGGGAACACTGGGTGGGTGGGGAGCGGCAGGGGACCATCACTGTCTCCAAATATCTTCATTGGCAAAAGGGAGTGGACTATCTTTCCTGGGGACACAGCTTCAGTTTGGTGTGGTTGAGCACTGCAGGCAGGTACTTTGGGGCTATCTAAGGAAAAACTTGCTAACATTTAGAGCCATCTCACAGCAGAATGAAGTGAGCTCTGTGTCACAGGACGTACTTGAGCTGAGGGGATGCTGGACCATCTCTCTGTCAGAGATGACACCGAGAGGATTCTCATATCCACCAGGACACTGAACCTGGTAGAGTCTGAGTCTGAACCCAGCCCGACTCATGAGGAATTCCCCAGATACTTGGATACAAGTGCCAGGCAGGTTTTGTCTCTCAGGGTGGTTATCCTGCTGTTACCCACTAGGATGTTGACCTGGAAGCAGTGGAAGCAGGACCAGGGTAGCCAGCAACCCAGGGCTGCAGAGCACCAGATCAAAACCTGGGCCAGCAGGTGCACCCTTCTGCCTTCTTTAAAAACCAACATTTACTGAGTGCTGCTATGTGGCTGGCCAGGAGCTACTCTGAGGTGAACAAGATAGGCAGATCTTGGCCTGCATTCTGGGGAGGAGAAAGAAACTGACAAAGAAAATGTTAGAAGCAATAAATGCTACAGAGAGAATTGAATGGGTGCATGTGATGGGCTGGAGGGCTGCTCTACATAGGGGCTGGGAATCAAGGAAGTGCTCTCTGAGGGAGACATCTCATCTGAGCTCCAAATAACATCATCACCTTGTCTTGATCATCCGACCAAGAGTATACGTTGTGGTTCACCCACAGGGTCATGGGTCTGTTTCAGCCTATGCCTGGTTGCCCTTTGGCCCCCTTTTCTCCCTTAAGGCCAGAAGCCTCCGTCCCTTCTCCCCAAGAAGTAGCCCTAAGATGCCACGAATCCCCTACAGGAGGAGGACAGCTCCGAAATAGCTGGGTGGGGCATAACCAGTCTCTAGAGGCAAATGAATCTGGGGTCTGATCTGGGAGATTCGGACAACAGCAGTGCCCTCTTTATTCGGTCTTTGTAAGCATTAAATGAGTTAAAGCACTTCAGGCATCCAAGCGCCTGGCACATAGTAAACTCTCAGAAAGTAGCAACTATCTCAAAAAATGTCAGTAAATGTCAAATGTCCCGCTCTGGACTCCGAGGGGGCTGAGCCTTCTCCCCCGGCCTCAGTTAGTCCCGCTGTTCTTTCTGGCCGCGGTACAGAGTAAGTTCGGGTGCCCATCCTCCCTAGCGCGTCCACACCCCTGCGTCCTCGGGGAGGGTTACAGCGGAGGCAGCGGAGGCAGCGGAGGCCGCAGAAGCGTGGGAGGCAGCGGTAGAGAATCTACACCCCGGCGAGCCCACGCCCCGCCCTCGATGACCACGCCCACCACCTTGACCACGCCCCAGATCCTTCCCCCTTGCCTGGAGCAGGCCCAGCCGGCGTGCTCCTTTAAGGCAGCCA